CTCCCCGGAAAGACCAGAAGAGCGGAGCCTGTGGCCAAGCCCAAAGCAGCCAGAGTGGCAGTCCCTGGAGGCCACACACCCGGTTTCCAGAACCTTCCTTGGTGCTTGGCAACGATTGTGGCTGCCTGAGTGGGGACATCAGGACCACCCTTGGGCTCCCTCGGCCTCAGTCTCTTCTCACACCTGCCAACAGCACATCCTCGGGGGAGCCTCCAGGGCCCGCCCGGCGGGCTCCTCTACTCGGGGGTCCAGCAGCCCGTCTTGCCCCATCACTCGGCAGGAAGTTCTGTTGAGCTGATGACTTTCTTTTGGGAAACCTGCCTGTGGTGGGGCAGAGAGGCCCACAGATACGGAGACCCCAGAAGAGACCCACCAGGAAAGAGCTGGAGAAGGCTCGTGGCACTTGAATGTGGACCTAAACCCCAGGCCAAGCTGTTTTCCTCACCACGGTGACCTGGGGCCTCTCAGAGCCTCAGTTTCCTCATCTGTGACACTAGAGACTCACCCCACTCAGGGTGCAGGAGGACTGGGTCTTGCTTTGTAAACCATTCTGTCCTAGATGAACAGGAATTACCATGCAGTTATTTCATAGAAACCGGGAGCTGTGTGGATTCTGCACATGAGTAAAATATCAGCTCAACCTCTCTCACTTCTGGCTGAGTGTCTCAGTCTGGGCCGCGGGGATCAGGTGGCAGACATCGGTCCAGAGCCCAGGCTGCGCCTCCCTGTCCCTACCCCAGTGCATGATGGTTCTTAAAAGGTCTCCACTTCTGGAGGATCCGGGTTGGGATCGGTGTTGGAGAAGGAAGTGCGTCATGCAGCCTGTGTGGGCCAGGACACTGGGGATCGGGGGTGCACCTAGGCCTTAGGTGACACTGCCCAGGAGGCCAAGTCTGTCCTGAGGCTTTGTGGTCCCGTTTTCTGTCTCCCATCTCTGGATTGACACTCACGTCTTCTGTCTCTAAGATCAAGGGTTTCTTTTTCCCTCTGAGCAAGGACCTTTCAGAGATGTCGCATAATGAGAAAGGATGATGCCAATTCCTGCTGGAAATTTCAGTGTCCTGCAAACCTGGTGGAAAATATTTTGGAGGTTGGGGGGAATTTTGGAAGGAGAAGAGAGGCCCATGTAAGTCTTCGGTGAGTTATTCTGGGTATAGAGCTTTGCTCTCCCCTGGGACCACCCCAGGTCTTACCCTACAGGGTTGCTGCACCCCCCTCACACCTCAGTGGGCCCCTCACAAAAGGCAGAGCAGCCAGGAGGACAGAGGCAGCTCCTTGGTCTTGGTCATTCCAGAAAACCAGCCTTGAATGCCACTCGTGGTTAGAGGGAAGGTTTAAGTCCTAAGCCCGGTTTCTCTAAAGATGATCGTATTTGGACAAGAGGGCATTGTGGTGACATTGGTCAAGATGAGACCACAGGGGTGAAGGAAACCTCTAACCCAAGATGTTCTTATCGAAGAGGGGACTGGGTCAGGACAGGTGTCACCGCTGCTCAGAAGCACCACGGGCTGCAGCCAACCACCCCAACGCTGAGACAGACACAGAGCCGTTTGTCCCTGGCAGCCTCAGGAAGAACCAACACCACCAGCACCTGGCTCTGACTCCCACTTTTCAGAGCTCAGAGGAATAAGTCTGCAGTCAGTCCCAGAACTTTGTTGGGGCAGATGGGCACCCATGTTGGTGGGTGGAAGGGGAATCCCAGTGTACCTCCAAAACTCCCACGAGCTTCCTGTATCAACCCCACATACCCAGAAATCCCCAGCTACCCAAGGACACCTACGGGACATCAGAAGCCGAGTTCCATGGTGCTCACTAGGCCCTAGGTCACAGGCATCTGGTAAGGTTTCTGTTTCCCCCAGTTTAGCCAAGGAGGACATCAGGGACCGGGAACCGTACATCAGGTTGCATGGGAAACCTGAAAAAATACCAATACCGGAGTCTTTCACTCTGAGATCCCAAAGCAATTGGTCTGAACACACGAGACATTGGGGGACATTTGAGACCTAAATGCAAACACGTCAGTGTAGAAATTTCTGGAATGAGCCTGTTAGTCACATTTCAATTTTCAGTTCATCCTGATATTTCTTTGTTTAGTAATCAGCAAACCATCATAGAGTCACATTTTCAGCGATGCTGATGAATCCACTCTTTCCATACACACTTGAGTCTTTGCTTTTAGCTTTATGCAGTGGGGTCTTCTTCTTTCCTCAACTTCTGTCCATCACTTTCAGTTTAGGCTCCAACTGTTTCTCAGGTCCTCTGTGGTACTGATCCCAACAGAGACTTCTAAGAAGCGTTTCCTACTTCTACCACCTGGCAGCATTTCTCCTACAGCTCCGGTCTCCTCTCTCTATTATCTCTTAGCCACAGGAGCACCTGCAGGCCCTTCTGACTTGCTCAACAATATCTTTCCACCACAGAGCAGAAAGTAAGAAACAAGCACACACACACACACACACACACACACACACAGTTGGGTAAGGCCAAAGAGTTTGATATCAACCGTGGTTCTCTTCCTTTTTTATGAGCAATTCTTGAGCAAAATTTCTCAGCCTTACCTTGAAACTCAAACACTTCTCACCCTGTCCCTTCTGCTACCACCTGGCTCATTCCTACTCTTGTCTTCATCTCCCTCTTCTTCCCTGGCCCCTGTAGTTTCTTTTTCTCCTGCAACACTGGCCCCCTTTGTGGCCCTTCTCACACACCAGGCACACGTCTTGATTCTGAGCCTTTATCCCCGCTACTCTTCCAGCTGTCCACACGGCTCACTCCTGGGCACCTCACCACGGGGACTTCTTCGTGGTACAGCAGCCTCTGAGTTGTCAGATTTCTCACCTGAAAGTTCAGAGCGCCAACTGCATTACCTCAGTTGGAAGGAGCATGGTGTCACTTCTGCCTTTCTCTGTTGATGCAAGCAAGACGTCAGCTATCCAGACCCAAAGACAAGGGAAATTAGACTCCCCTCTTCAGGGGAGAATGGCAAGGTCACATTGTAGGACACATGGGATTGAAAATATTATTGTGACCACCTTTGGAAAATATAATTTTGACTGTGTCAGGAGCCATTCTACATAAACTTGGGAGGAAAATCATTTCACAATTAAATTATGATTAGAGCCGCCTGAGACCTCAATAGTCCCGCGATGCTCAAAGGCAAGAGTACTTCAGCTGAAAACATCTTGGGTCTCCGAAAACATAGTAGAAAGGTTTCAACTGGTGAGGGACAAACTCTTTATCAGCTTCACTCATCCCATCTACTGCTGTAAGAAGGTTTTGCTCATCTCACCGTCCTAATTAATCAACATGAACTCCTCATTGACATGAGATCTTCATCAGTATAAAGTCCTCATGATCACAGGATTACTACTACCATCCAAGACATCTGATATAAGATCCTTGTCAATTCAGGATTATCTCCACCCTCTGGGTCATCTGATACTCCCTATGAACCCTTATAAATAGTGGCAAGCTTGGGATGCCTCTGTCTTTGCTGCCTAGAGAAGCACTGATCAGGCCCCAAAGCTCAGCTCTTTCTCTAAGTCTCGTTTTCTGTCTTTATTCTTGAATTCACTTGGTGTTGTCATGGCTCTCAGGAGACCAGACTCACTGCAGGGGCTCTGGAAACATGCCCTCTCCCATTCCCTACATGACTGTGTCGGTCAGTTTCCGTTACTATGATGGGATGCCTGAGAAAAACAACCTAGAAGGGGAAAGACTTATATTGGGCATGGTTTCAGCGTGTGGTCATTTAGTTGCATTACCATTAGGCCTACGACACAGCAGAAGCATCGTGGTAGAAGAGTGTGATGGAAGAAAGCTGCTCCCTTCAGGGCAGACATGAATCATGAAAGAGGGAGCCAGGGACCAGATACAGTTCCCAAGGTCACAGTCCTATCATTATCCCTCAATCAGGCTCCGCATCACCTCCCAGTGATGCCATCAAATGATGATCTCATCCGTGCATTAACCCACTGGATGGAATAGGAGCCCTCGAGATCCAATCACCTTCCAAAAGCCCATCCTCTGAACACATGTGAGCACCAAATTTCAATACCAGATACCATTTCTGCCTGACAAATTATCCTGACCCTTAGCAACATAAAATGGCCATTTGGATCCGTGACTTTGTATATGAGAAATATAGGAAGGGCTCAGCAGAACAGCTCTCACCTGGGGTGGCTGGACTAGTCAGATGTTCAAGGTCACAGTGCAGGAACGCCTGGCAGATGAGGCTGGTACCAGCTGGGCACCACAGGGTTGTAGGTGTGGTCACTCCAGCAGGAAGTTCTCAGAGAGCTGGACGAATCACATAGCAGCTGGCTCCTGCAGACAACAACTCCAGGGGACTGGGTGGAGACTGCACTGCCCACTCCTATCCCGCCTAGGAAGTGACACAACACCACTTTTGTCACCCTCTGTAGGTCAGGAGCAATTCACACAGCTCAGCCCAGATTCAAAGGATGGAACTATAGATGCCCCTCCCGCCATCTCTGGATGAGAGTAGTGAGACTCTGGTTGTGTTTAAAACAGCAGTAAGGGGCTGGGGATTTGGCTCAGGGGTGCCACCACCTGCCTCACAAGCACAAGGTCCTGAGTTCGATCCCCAGAACAAAGCAAGCAAGCAAGCAGGCAGGCAGGCAGGCATTGAGGGCCAGGCATGGTGGCGCATGCCTGTAATCCCAGCACTCGGGAGGCTGAGGCAGGAGGATCACTGCAAGTTCGAGACCAGCCTGGGCTACATAGTGAGTTCCAGGTCAGTCTTAACTACATAGCGAGACCCTGTCTCAAAAAAACAAAACAAAAGAAAAAAAAAACAAAAGAAGGCATTGAGGTTCCGTCTTACCCCTGACAGAATGGCCACTATCAAGAATGCAAAAAACAATAAATGCTGGTGAGGATGCAAAGGGAAAGGAACTGTCTGCCCTGCTGGTGGGGATGCGAATTAGTACAGAGTCTTCCACACACACACACACACACACAATGACCGTAAGATCAGCTTGATGCTCCTTGGTATATTCATACAGGAATCAGAGTCAGCATACTATAGCAATACTGGCATGTCCATGTTTATCCTGGCACAATTCACAATAGTCAAGATATGGAACCAGCTTAGGTGCCTGCCATCAGCAAGTGAATGGATGAAGAAAAATGGTAAATATACACAATGGAGTATTGTTCAACCATAAAGAAGGAAATCGCGGCATGTACAGGAAGACTGAAGGAGCTGGAGATCATCGTCTTAAGTGAAAGGAGCCAGACTCAGAAAGACAAGTATTGCATGTTTTAGCTCACATATGGACTCTAGAAACAAACAAACAAACAAACAAAATAACATGAAAGTAGAAGGTTTGGCATTAAATAAGAGAAGGGGGATCAGAGGGAAGGTAAGGAAAGAGAGGGAGATGGAAAATGTTAACCTGCTTTCTGAATTATAGATTTGTTGTGAAAAAAATATTCATGATGGAATAACAGAGTTTTCCTGGGTAAACTAAGAAACAATGGTAACCCTTTTCCGTAGGGAACACTATTTTCTCTGATTCTAACTCAAAGTGGGAGGGGACTGCCTGGATCTATATTATGAGAGCTTTTTTTTTTTTTTTTTTTTTTTTTTTTTTTTTTTTTTTTTTAGCTTATTTTAAAATTTAAGAAGTTTTCAGTTGGTGGTGGCTGTTGAAAAATCAGTCGTAGAATCATTATGGTTTAGATCTAGTGTCCCCGAAGTCAGTGTGTGTGTGTGTGTGTGTGTGTGTGTGTGTGTGACTGGATCATGGGGCCCTGTGCTCATCAGTGGATCCCTCATTAGCTAAGCCCTGAGAGAGCAGCTTCTAACCTAATTGGTGGGAACCCAGGCAAAGAGCACTGTGGCAGCCAGAGCTTCATTCCCTGGCAGAAATTCCCCACGTGCTGCTGCTTTCCTCTGTCGCGACCTTGGTAGACACTGTTCACTGAATGCGTTGTGTTCAATTGTGTCCAGCTTTCCAATTGATCAGTACAGACTGGCTGGGGTTGTGAGGTAGTTCATTAATGAACACAGTTTGAACACAGATTTTTAAGTCCCTAAGTCAACGAGGGGGACCAAAATATGGGACACAAGGTTCAGCAATATAAAATGTTTTTCACTTAGCCCAACCCCCAATATATAAAAAATACTACGAACATATACAAATATAAAACTATCAGTGAGCTAGTTTACATCATTTTTTAGACAAATCTTTGGAACTCTGGTGTATTTTACATCAAGTGCTCAAGAGCCACACACAGTGCTTCTCGCAAGGACCCAGACCTAACTTAAGGGCACATTCGCACCCCAGAACTACGAAGTGCAAAGATGTAGGGTGTGGCAAGCACGTGGGTGAGGGCTGGGGGCTGGGGGCTGGGGGCTGGGCCAAGCGTCCAGCAGGTGGCTGACCGTGACGCCCAGAGACACGCACTCCCTGCACACCTCCAACGCTGAGATTTCCCCAGCAGGAGG